TAGCCCCATCAAATTTCTCACTGTATTATGCATCCTCAAGGCTCAAAGCCACTGGACTTCTGCATTCTGTTCAGAAGCTCAGGATCTTGGTGTAGCTAGACACATGCCTCCTTTCCTGGGCAATTAGAAACATCTTGTAGGGGGTATCCAATTGATTCCACCACCTGAGTATTTGAACTTTGGAAAATTATTTTCTGTTGATGAGGCTCTGTGTCCTATGAGTAAGCCTGTGCATCTTGTAAGGTTTATTGCAAAATTGAATGAGACAAATCCCTGGTATGAACTAAGTGCTCAAGAAATGACTCCATGTATTTCCATCCATTAGCAAATAATTCCATATCTATATTTCTAGGACTAGGAATGATATATAGAGAGTCTAATCTACAAAATAAGTTTCATTATAATATATGATAACTACTTAGTTCATATTATTTCATTTAGTTGAACAATCCTGTACTGAAGGGCTAACAGAACACAGCAGGTTAATCTACCACCTGCAAAGCTGGCATCCCATATTGGAGGTCAGTTCAAGTCCTAGCTGCCCTACTCGAAATCCAGATCCATGCAAATGCACTTGAGACAGCAGTAGAAGATGACCCAAATACCTGGGCCCCTGCTATCCATGTGGGAGTCTTGTATGGAGTTCCAGTCTCCTGACTTCAGCCATCTGGGGAGTGAACCAGTGGATAGAAGATTTCCCCCCAACCCCATGTGTGTGTGTGTGTGTGTGTGTGTGCCTTTTTTTTTTTTTTTTTTTTTTATTTTTGACAGGCAGAGTGGACAGTGAGAGAGAGAGACAGAGAGAGAAAGGTCTTCCTTTGCCGTTGGATCACCCTCCAATGGCCGCCGCTGCAGCCGGCGCACCGCGCTGATCCGATGGCAGGAGCCAGGATCTAGGTGCTTTTTCCTGGTCTCCCATGGGGTGCAGGGCCCAAGCACCTGGGCCATCCTCCACTGCACTCCCTGGCCATAGCAGAGAGCTGGCCTGGAAGAGGGGCAACCGGGACAGAATCCGGCGCCCCAACCGGGACTAGAACCCGGTGTGCCGGCGCCGCAAGGTGGAGGATTAGCCTATTGAGCCACGGCGCCGGCTCGTGTGTGCCTTTCAAATAAATCTTTTAAAAACCCTATACTGAGTCCTTAATATTTTCCAGACATAAGAACTTACAAATATTCAACTCCTATCTTCAAGGACCTGGTGATTTAAACCATATTTGACAGATAATACCTCCCATATTCTTTAAAAAAAAAGCTTTTTATTGTGAAAAAAAAATTGAGCATCTATAAGGTAAGTATAACAGTAAAAAGAACTGCTATTTTCCCATCATCCAATTTCCACCCTGATCAAAATTTTACCATTTTTTTCTTTCTTTGTATTTCCCAAATTCCCTATTTAATTATTCTTATAATTTTATTTTTTATGATTTGTATTTTTTTAATCCTTAAAGCTCTCTCAGAGAGAAGATCTCATCACATTGTTAGCAACTGCCACGTTCAACTCAGTTCTCTGAGGAATGTGTGATGTGTATGTGTGTGTGTGTATTTTCAATTCATTGCAGATCGGTTGTCTCCATTTCCTCTTACTCTCAGCCCCAGAAGAAAGAGAGAACAGTTGCTCACCATTCTTCACTCAATAAGCCTTCATTCTCAGAGAGTTATTGAATTATTCCTCTATCTTCTCTTTGTAGATTAAATAATTCCAATCCCTTTAACCTTTTCTCAGAGGTCCTATTTGCAGCCTTCAGTTTAATCATTTTCATTGCTCCCTTCTGGAACCTCTCCAACTCCTCTGCATTAAAATATGTGGCTTTACCACTGAATTCACTCTTCTGAGCAACTCATTCCTTAACAAGCACCAAGACTGAAGGAAAGCATCCCTCAGATAAAAGGAAGATGGTAGATAGAGGTAAGGATAGATTTCCTATGTAGTGAACCCATGGAGAACATTCACTTGCTTAAAGCAAATTAGCATTTCTTGTTGCCACTATTAAAGAGAAAGAGCTAACACCAGAACATGTTTTAAATAGTGCCAACCATTCTGCTTGACAATTATCTAAATTACTTTCAGGCAGATAAGACTACTAACAGAAAACCAAGGCTTGCTGTAGTTACACCTGACATTCTCAGAGGGCCCCAAGAAAATCACTGGAGTACTAAAGTTAATGAGACCCAAAAAGAATTTTTGATTATATAAAATATCTTTGGCCATCAGGTAGACAGTTGATTATTTACTATGCTATGTACAGTGCCACTGGTCAGTTTTAGCACATGCCAAGGATCTTTCTTTGCATTCTGTCAATCAATATAATAAATATTTCTTAAACTGAGAGTGCTGCAAATCCCAAGTGACTCTTAAGAAATGATATAGAGGGGCCGGCGCCATGGCTCACTTGGTTAATCTTCCGCCTGCTGCACCAGGTTCTAGTCCTGGTTGCTCCTCTTCCAGTCCAGCTCTCTGCTGTGGCCAGGAGGGCAGTGTAGGATGGCCCAAGTGTTAGGGCCCCTGCATCCGCATGGGAGACCAGGAGGAAGCACCTGGCTCCTGGCTTCAGATCGGCACGGTGTGCCGGCCGCAGCAGCCATTTGGGGGGTGAATCAATGAATCAATGGAAGGAAGACCTTTCTCTCTGTCTCTATCTCACTGTCTAACTCTGCCTGTCCAAAAAAAAAAAAAAGAAATGATATTGAGAGGTTAATCAAATACTACTGTTCACAGTGCAATATCAACATATGCAGGAACATATGCAGGAAGGAGCAGATAGGGAAACCAAAGCTCAAGTAAAACGTCCCTTCAGGACACACCTAGTGACCTGGACAAAATCTCAGAGATCCCTCCCTGCCTTTTTTTCTCATTATGCCATTGAGATGAACCAACTTCCTGTGAACCAGGAGCATCCATCACGTCCCACCCCTGCCAACATGCACAGGCACACGCAGGTGCAGGCACAGGTGTGCACTTGCACGCAGAGTCCAGATTCTTCTATCAATTTCCAAATCCTCTGAAGAAGCTGGCAAAACTCTTTGGATAATATCGTGCCTGCTTTAGGGACTTGCTTCTTTTGAAACCACTGTTAAGAAAAACTGTTTTTTCTTTCCCCATGTGGAAAAATTCAAAGTCCATAATTGGGGTGAATAGACTGGGTTAAGAGCAGGGAGGTGGAGAGACAGATCATTGCTTCCCTGGGCTACTTCCAGGCAAACAGGTGGTCATCATATCTAATTCAATTTCTGAAGCTGCGTTGGCCTTGGCAAGACCCTGTTTGGCATAGAACTGACTGGGCTGAGAGAGATCTGACAACAACATCCATGGGAGAACCAGCCACATTCTGGAAAATCTTCCTTGCTGAATTATCTGAAGATACCTCAGTTCTGGGTTCAAAACAGATTCATGGTCTGGCACTGAATTTTCGCATATAGGACCAGTCCCAAAGTCAGGTTTACCAATGACTTAAATTCCAAGATTTATGAAAATGCTATTATGTTCCTAATCAATCATTTTGATGGACAGGGCCTTATAATCACGGCATCTAAACAAGAAGCACCCTCCGCATAAAGGCAGATACTTCACCAACTGTTTACCTGTTAGAGCTGACCTGTTCTATCCCTGCTGCTCTTGATGATTTCCCATGCTCAGGCACGTTTGCCAGCTCTTTGTGTTACAGAGTGAAGGAAATGCATAGAAACACGAATACCACTAGCAAATCTACGCGCCATTGAGGTTTGAGACCATTAACAAATGGACAATTGAAGCTAGAGTATATTAAACAGTTTTGTGTTGATAAATATACATTTATAATTCAATAGTTATGATCTTTATAGAAACAAACCTCCAATGTTGAAGAACTACAAATAGCCTCTGATTTCATTTGTTTCATGGTAAAAACAGCCCTGCATATTCTTATACAGAGGTAAGAAAGTGAAAGTAGGGCCCAGGAACTCATGAATATTATTGTTATTCTGTAGTGGCTATGATGAATGGCCAGTAATGCTGAATTCATAAATCACTAGTAGACACAGTTCAATCCTTCCTGTCTTTAGTCAAACATGTACTTCAGAGACTTATATCAAGCTGTTAAAAAAAAATAGCAATTTATGCCACTCCACTATAACCAAATACAACTTTGGAAGAAATTGTATTGCATTTGAATTTGGGAATATCAGCTAACACTGAATATTGATACCCCCATCTTTAGAGAGTTAAAAGAAACAAGAATACCAGAAAATTAATTAGTTAATTAAAGGAAAGTAAGAGAAAGGGGAGAAAGATAGGCAAAAAGTAAAAAATCGAGATTGCTGAATTTTAAAAACATGTATCTATAGTGAGCAGGTGACATTTGCAGTAAAGGTTTTTGAACTGGAAAAGCAAAATAAATACAATTCCTGCTGACCCTCAAAAGCCAACCATTTGGGCCATTCTTAAAAAAAAAAAAAAAGCCAGTAGATTAAAGGAACTCCATTGATAAAAATCAAATGAACCTCTAGCAAAGCTTGTTTGGGACATGAATAAATCATCTGGCCATGAATTATTCATTGTTATCAAGAAACAAGCTGGGAATTCCAGGAACTGAGCTCCAGGAGGTGCTGAAACTGGAGAGTGGGCAACTTCATTGTCTCATACCTGCCAGAAGAGAGACAGTTGGATCATACATCAGGGGACACTTAGGCTGCCTCCACATCCCAGAGGATAGAACAAATAGAGTTTAATCCATAGAACCTTAATTAGAAAACCATATACACTGAGTAATCAGGCGCTAAGACTTTTTGAGTATTGTTTCTTTGTCAGTAATGAATGAGATACATATGAGGAAAATGAGCTGATGCAAAAAATACTAGGGTGAAAGATTGAATCTACAGGGGATGCTAAAAAATTCCTTGATAAGTTGTTAGAACAATTCAGCAAACTCCTTCATGGCTTCGTGGTTGGAATTCTTGGGGGAACAGGGAGGAAGAAAATGATCTTCCAGATTTAATCAAATAATCAATGTATGTGTGTGTTCCAGGTCCAAACTGCTTTGCCGGAACTACAATAATTCCAGCTGGCATTGAAGTCAAAGTGGACGAATGTAACATCTGTCACTGTCACAACGGGGACTGGTGGAAGCCTGCTCAGTGTTCAAAACGCGAATGCCAAGGCAAGCAGACTGTGTAGGACAATTCCCAGTCAATGGCGAATTCTTAGGAGAAGATGCTGTGGCTTCTACACTGCACATGTTTAACACAAAACAAAACAAACTCCTGCCAGCTACAACAGGGTCACCAGCAAAACCTTTTAGGGTTGACAAAAGTGAATATTTTACTAAGAGGAAATTTCTCTCTTTTTCTCTTGCTATACAAAATATATATAGTACATAGCTATCTAAACAGCTTTTGTAATAACCAATGCTTGATGGTGACTTGACGACTGGATTTTTGGGACAAAAAGAAAGAAATAGCCTTGCACAGGCTCCTTCCCTGGTGATGCCTCTGGCCTCCAGCTCACTGTGTCCTGATTTGCTCCATTTTCACTCCTCTGTACAACCCACATGGCATTTTTCTCTTGTGGTCTTTTTTTTTTCCTCACCTTTAGAGTTTAAGAGGCTAGAATTGAATGCACAGAAAAATTTCAAGTTGTATCTAAAAAGGTTTGGTAAAAGAATTTCATGGAGAAGGCTCTCCTGACCAGGAAGACACAAGATCATCCAACCAATTGCTACCCTGGAATGAATCATGCCTTTTAGGCTGAGAACAGAAGGATGGGCAGGCGGGAAACTGGTACCTTGTCCATTAAGTGGGGGCTCGTGTAATGAGTCTTACAAACCACACATTTCATGTACAAAATCTTGAAACTGCCAATCAAAAACAAATAGGCAAAGAACACACTGAATTTGACTAAAAAATCCAAAGAGAGAAACATGGTTTGTTTTATTTTTTCAGATTGTAGCATTAATCACCAAAGTTTTTCATGACAATGAATTTGAGTTTGATTTGTAACTGAACACACGGTAAAACCACTCTGTCACTGGGCAATATGAAAACCAGAACCAGGGTGAGTAGCCCCACTGTGAATCTGAATCCTCCTGAACACTTACAGCTTTTGAGTTCATAGCTGACTGAAAGCCAGTAGTACACACTGGCAGCTTTCTACGATTCAGACTGTGTTTGCCATGTTCTGGTAACAACCGCTCAGCCCTATGTCTAAAATACAGATTCAGGACACTCTCTCCACCTCAAGTGCTGATTTAAATTAAAGATTAGGGTAGAAACAGTCTTGCACAATACAGTTCCATTTGTTGAACATTTTTAAAATGTATATATTAGATACTGAACAATTAAGTGAACCTTTGAAGTGTCTCAAGGTTGCCCTGAAATGCTGCTAGTATAGTAACAGAAACAAATAAAACACACAGGGTATCTGATGCCACCTGGATTCAAGTGCAAAATGAGCAATTCTGAAACCACATGGCATAGTCAGTCGCTTATTCCACTCCCTGTCCTAAAAATCCCAGTGCAGATCTGATAGGGTCCTTGAGGAAACTTGAAGGTTGTCTTCATCATCAATGTTCTTTCTTTTTCTGTCCCACCCCCAACCTGGGTCTTGCCGTGACTCCTGTGGAGTGGCATCTTTGAAAGCAGGTGTCTCAATGTTAGTAGCATTGACATTTAGGAACAGATACTAAGCGAGGGCTGTCCTGAACAATTTTAAGATGTTTATAAGCATCGTTGGTCTCTATCCACTAGGTGCCAGTAGCAGTACCCTAGGTGTGACAACCAAATGTCTCCAAATACTGCCAAGTATGCCCAAGGGGTGGGAATGAGGGCAAAATTTCACCTGATTGAGAACCAGTCACCTGGAATCATCAGTATAGAGTATTTTCTTCCAGGGGGACATTCTGGGCAAGCTGTGGCTGCACCTGTGGCTTTGGTGAGCCTGTGAGCCCCTTGGGACATGCACAGATGCCCTGAGGGGTTAGCCTCCTCCATGGAGAGTGATTCTCCTAATGTCACAAGAACACCCCAGGATTTGTATTTCTTTAATCTTGTCAACTGGTTTTTCATTTAAAATTGTCAGCCTCTCCTCCCCCAAGCCGTTCCTGTCATCAAGAAAGAGTTGTCATTTCCAAAATTAATGTGCTGATGAGTTGGACCTGACACTTTTACGCACACTGTGCTTGTGTTATGATACAAATAGCCACGCCGGCGCCATCCCAAGGAAGAACACCGAGCCGCCTTCCCTTAGAACACCAATTTGCCGCAAGGTTGGTGCCTTTCAGTTGCCACCATGGATACATCATATAGACAGTCATGAATCATTCATGAACAATTCTGCATGATTTATGCCTGCACTCAAAAGTAAAGGCATTCCACACCTCAGCCTGTGTCTAGACAGAGACATATTATAGAGCTTTCATTGCCCTGAGGTTGCCTGTTGCCAGCTTCAAAAATCCACACACTTGGAAAGAAATAATAATAATAATATATGACAGGAATAAGGTTTGAAACTCAAAAAACATCATTAATAGAGCCATGTAGCATTGTACCTTATCTATTATTGAGGAGTGACTATGTCCTTTTTAGAAAACAGAAAGAAAAGTGCAACTGGGAAGCCAAGGTACAGGGATTTCGCTTCAAAGTCTTGGCGCAGTGATAGTCACAGCAAGAAGTTACTAGAATGGAGTACAACATCCATCAAAAAGCTCTCTTCAGAGAGAGCACAGAAAGTGGGCTGCTCAGTGGTCTCTGTTACCAGCTAGAGAGAGGGATTTTTACTGGATTTTGTTTTTCTCAGAGTTTCACTACAAGCTATTTCCTTTAAGACTTTGTAGCACTGACATTTTTCCCCCTTTAGGGAGAGATGAACCTATACTGTGATAGAATTTCTCATAAATCCGTAAGCATTTTACAACTTCCTTCTAGCCAGGTCACTGAGAAATCCTTTCCAAGCTCTGAACAGCAGAGGTTTGGTTTCATCTGTCTTTTCTTCTTTTCTTTTCTTTGGAAGGCTTTGTGTGCAGCCGCACTGTCACCTCTGTACCACTACTCCTCTGCCGCCTTTGGTTCTCGGCTTTAATCACAGCCATGTTTAAATAAGGGATCAACAACCTGTTTGTCAGCTGATGCTTGTTTAAAAAAAAATTCAGTTTCTAAAATCTTTGAAAAATGGTGTGCCTGAAAACTAGTGAGAAACAAAAAAACTAAACGCTAAACTGTATAAAGGGGATTCTAGCAACAATATTTGATGTGTAAAAGAATATATTATTAAAAAATTATTTTGTTAAATATAAAGTGTGTTAACCAGCAAACATTGTTTGTGGTATATTTTCCTTCCCGAATGTCTTCTTTTTCCCCTATCTGCATTATTTAATGACTAATTCTCCGTGATGTCTATCACAAGGAAATACATGTGTGTTTAGAGTGTGTTCAATTAGAATGAAGTCTTAGCTTTAGAATCAGCCTCTGTGCATTTTCTTTTTTTTTTAAATTTTTAAAAATGTTTTATTTGCAAAGCAGTAACAGAGTCAGCAACACAGAGAAAAGAGAGATTTCCATCTGCTGATTTACTCTTCAAATGCTTGCAACAGCCAGGCTTGGGCAACACTAAAGCCAGGAATCAGAAACTCAATCCAGATGTCTCACATGGGTGGCAGAGACTCCATTACTTGAGTGTAGGGTATGCATTACCAGGAAGCTATACCAGAAGTGGAAGAGCCAGAACTCCAAACAGGCACTCCAGAATGGGAAGCAGGTGTCCCCTGCAGTATATTAACCGCTGAGCCTAGCACCCACACTTTCTGTCATAATACAAGGCAGGGATAACCCTGGGATCAGAGCATAGGAGGCTCAAATGAACTAGTGATGACAGGATAAGAAATAGGAGAAATCTTCCTAAGCTCAAATCCATTTACATCATGGGTGGTAATCTACAGTTGTTCACTGGTTATTCTGTGCTGGACCCTGAACCCATAATATCTTATTCAATCCATCGCACACATCTACGAAAGAGCAAATTGTACTGCCTCTGCTCTGTCCCTGAGAAAACAAAAAATAAAGAGGTTAAATGTTTTTCCCAGTGTTACAGGGTAGCAGGAATTTTTCATTGTAAAAGTTTTCAAACATACACAAAAATTTATCAAAATAGTAAGAGACCTCCATTCAACCATTATCCAGATTCAACAGTAATAGAGACTTTGCATAATATTTCATTTTATTCTTTTCTCCCTCAGTCTTTTAAAGCAAATATTAAGAATCACATTATTGCACCCCAGTGAGTCACAGTGAGCATCTCTTTTTAAAAAGTGAAACTTCTTACAAAACCATATCAAAGCTAATAAAATTAGTGACTCCTTGGTATCATCAATTATCCAATCCATAGTCAAACATCTTTGCTTTTGTAAAGATGAGGTATAGGGGTGTTCTCATGATCCAAACTGTCATTAACATTGAATTTGGTTGTTATTGTCTCTGAGTTCTAAGCGAGGATTCAAATCCTCCAACTGACAGCCGTGAACTCTCAGACATTCCTGGGTTTGTTCTTGCTACTTGCGGGTTTAGATTGGGATCACTATTCTTTTGAAGCTTCATGCTAAACACCCTCCTAGACAGCAGAGACACAACTGGGAATGAAGCTTTCTACCAAATGACCTCCAGAAGGCAGCAAACAGCCCCAGAGCAAGAAACATTGCTGGAGCTCAGGGCTTTTCTCCTTGAGATAACCATATCGCTTAGTACTAAGCAATATTGTATACCCTACCATCATCTGCATTGTTGGAGAAAGAAGAAAAACAAGTAGAAAAGAAAAAAAAAAAAACCAGCATGGCCTCCTCACACACACGTGATGAATACACACCTCTAGTCTACCAACATTTTCTTAACACAAGATTCGAATTTTCTTGCTTCAACTTCCCATTCACCAATTCTCTTCCTCCTATATGCATTCAGTGCGAAGGATTTCTTACAGTTTAATTTAGATTCAAGGTTCAGGGAGAAGGCATATCAGAGCAGAGAGGAGAAAGCTACGAGTAAGATGTGGTCCTATGTTTGTTTGCTTGGGTTTTTTTTTTTTTTTTTTAGATTTTACACTGAGAATATCTTCTTTTAAAGAAAGACATTCTCAAATTTTGAAAGATAAAATATGATCTTTGAGTCAATACCTCACGTTTGCTTTCTTGCCACATTCATAATTGATTTATACATCAAATTAGGGTGACGTCTGTATCAAGGAGCCTCCATGTGTAATGTGCATCATGAACACTTGGTTCAACCTGATCAACCTTATGCTCAGATACCTAAAAGGCATATTGTTTCTTAGATGAATAATTCACAGCTAATGTCATGGTGCCTTTCATAATGTAAGAGTTAAATGGACTGAGTTGAATTAATTTCTTCTATCCAATGTTAAGAATTCAAAATTTGTTTTATATTTCAAATATTTTAAGTTGTGGTAAACATATGCTAATTTTCTTTTTAATTTTTGAAAATCTTGAACTTCTAATACATGAATCCCAAACTCCAGTTTAAATAATCCCCATATTGTGTTTGAAAGTGGATCTGAGTAGGGGTACTTTCAAAAACCTATACTTCTAGATTTAAGATTGATATTTGAAGTTTTACAAATGAATAGTTACCTGGGGTGGGTAGTGTTGGGGTTGGATTTCAATATAAACCTCAGCTACCATTTCCTGAGCCCCTTGTGTATATCAGACACTCTACTGGCTACTTTATATGAGGCGAAGACTTGTATTCATTAATCCAACTTTCTCATAAGCACTATGAAATTATTGACTGTCAATCCCATTTTGCAGACTGGAACACTGAGTTTCAGAAAAGTTTTATGGTTTTCTCAGGATTGCATGATTAGTTAGAGGCAGAATTGGCTTTTATATCAGAGGCTTATAATTATTAAACATAACACTGCCCACAAAATAGCTTATAGTGAGGCTGACATGTAAGAACATACTATATTTACACTTACACTTACATATTAGCTATCATTACTAGGACTAGTAGTATCAGAAGAGAGATATGGGGAATATGATGTGTTTGGATCTTAGATACAAGTTGGAAAGATATTCAGAAGAATAATATTGTAGAACAGGATAAATGAATTATATTTTGAAGTTTGACAAGAAATCAGGTGTGATTTCAATGTGAGACATATGATTGGAGATGAGCCTGGAAAGGAAACCTGATTATTAAGACATGGAAGATCATGCTAAGAAAAACTGGGTTTATGAATACTGCAGATTAATAAACATCATGTAAAAAGGTGGGGGGAGCAGCCATATTTGTATCTTGGAAACAATTCTGGTAAAACAAAGGATACACTGGGGTCTGGGGAGAGAGAGGCAGAGACACTACAGGGAGATAATCAGAAAAGTCCTGAAAAAAATAATGAGACTCTGAGATGATGTGGGTGAGACACACAGAACAGCTGAGACAACAGGACTTCATAGAGGATCAAACCGGGATTTGACAGTGAAAGCAGCCACCACATTTCTAACTGTGGTGATGAGAGGGCATAGCTGCTGATGACAATGGTCAAAAATTTGGAACCTATGTTCTATCTTGGGATGGCACATACTCTCATTTTAGGATATTATGCTCAAGATGCTGGAAATATATCAGGTATGCAGCATCAACCACAGACATGCTTGTCTCCAGGGCAACCCATCCTGTTTCTATTTGCCAACATTATTTCCATTTTGGTTTCAATAATAGCCAAAGCTTACCACTGTTCATTTTTTTCTTAGTGTTCTTGAAATGGAACAAAGTTTGGAAGACCAAGTGTAGCAAAATTCTTTTACTGGGTTGTGGAAAATATTAATTTCACATCTTAGTGATACAGAATTTGCATATTGTGAGACAAACTAGTAAGTTTCCAATATCTCACTACACTTGTCCTGTCAGTATATAAAATGTTAGTTCCTTTTTCATATGATTTATCCACCAGGATTCTGAAAATCCAGAAAGATTATTTCACTGTCCACTGTAGACTTCTCTATTTTTCTTTCTGCAGAATATTTAGGGTTCAATGTCAAGTTAGGGCCTGGGAAAGCCTTTCCATTTGAGATTTCCAAGGGTGCCCATCCACCTCCCCTTATATTTTTCTTTGTCTTTATTTGTTTTTCGGTTGCATTCCCTCTTTAATTAATCACAACATTGGGTCAGCCAGACCCATTAACTGCATTTCTCATTTAAACCTTTCAGAGATGCAGTTGCAGATGCAATTTAATTTGTTGACCCATGATCGATGGCAATTAATAGCATCTCTTTAATCTTGTTGAAAGGTCTGTCTCTGGCTTCCAGTAGCCACCATCTCAAGGGAGAGTTATCCACACATGCAGGTTATTTTGCTTTCAGGCAATAGTTCCCCTCAACCACACACTTCATATCCATTTAAGAAGTCACCATTCTCTACAGAATCTTCAATTATCACACAAAAGTTCACTAAGGCTATTACAATATTTGTCTGCTACAAGTTCATCATGCAAATGTTCTGAAGCAGGAACTCTGAGAAAAATACCATAAATTACTTTTTTGTCAGAAAAAAATAGATTCAACTTTTTAAAATGCATTATGTTAATAAAATTATTGCTTAAGTGTCATGAGATTTTTCCATGTTGTGTTGTGGCCAACCTGATCCTTGCCATCCAGTGTTCTGTCATATTAATTCAAGGGTTTATTGAATCCTTCAATAAACAAGTAACTTTCCAAGTAGGAATCTAGATACTGTGGTTAAACAGAATGATGTATTCTTTTCCCTTTCTCTGAAGGAGCCGAGAGTCTGATGGAGTCGACTACGTAGTGAGTTGCCAATAACAGAGAAGGAAGTGTTGTGGTCTAGGGATGAACGAGTACTCTAGGAACATAGGCAAAAGGCAGTGCACCATCCTGGACCTGTGAGTGCTTTCTGGGAGATGGAATTTTTTACCTGAATTTCAAGGAGAAACAGACCAGGTAAACAATGAGGAAAGCGGTCAATGCTCTGATTGCGATTTACAGTGTGAAGTTTCTGCTGATACATGTCAGACCACGGAACTGCCCCGTTTTGTAGATAATAAAAGCAACAAATAATATGTACCTGGCACAAAACCAGGGGCTTTGAGCAAATGAAAAACAGCCAAGATAGGTCACCTCCATATTGTGAAGGAATCTTTTGTATTAATGGCAGAATTCCTTTTATTTTTTAGTCTATTTACTGATCAGTGGAATTCCTTCTCCTCCCCCCACTTCAGGTACCTAGTGTACTGCATTTTATTAAGAAAATTTTTCTTGCATCTCTGCAGGAATTTGAGTAATGCCATCCATTAATGGTATTTGCATTGTTGGCCTCAGCTAATAAACTACTACTTGGCACCAAGCTAGTTTAGCTTGTAGTGGAAGCTTGGGGCCCCTGTTAAAATGGAAGTAAACTTGCAAGATATGTGTCTTTGAGGACATTTCTAAATTT